ATAATTAATATTTTTACAATCTGTAGTATTATCACTATAAACATTTCTGTTGTTATTAAAAATAATGAAGTATTACTATTAATTATTCTTTATAATAATAATAATTATTATTTATATTATTATTATTATTGATATTATAATTGAAATATTTAGTACAATTTCATTTAATTTAATTTAATAAAACCTAACAAAAAAATCCAATGTAACATGATGCACTGTGGAGTGGAGTGTGTGCAAAGAGACGTACTTATATGAACAAAAAGACCTGCATAAATGAACACAATGTTATAACAGTCAGTGCAGACCACAGAACAACTGTCTCTCATTACAATTTCTCTGGAAGACAAACAAAAGGATGCTGTGTTTACATGTTTCGTGCAGGTGTGCCGGGCTGCTTTCCTCCGCGCTCAGCGCTCTGAAGTTTCCCTCTCATTTCGTTCATCTCGGCTTCTTTAAAGTGCAACTCTGACTGCAGCGACTGCACCTGCAGCAAAACAAGCATTTAGCTGGATGTCATGAATGTTTCAGTGGCTCTGTGAGGCTGCCAGTCAAACTCGCGTGCCGTACCTTCCTGGACAGCTCCTTATCGCGTTCGCTCTGAGCGGGAGCTTTCTCTTTCTCCAGGGCGAGCTGGGTCTGCCGCCGCTGCTCCTTCTCCTGATTGGCCTGTTTCAGGGAGTCACGCAGGACTCGGATCTCTCCGTTCTTCATCAGGATCTCCTCCTCTACCTCCTTCAGCTGAGTGTGAACAGAAATGCAGAGAGAAGAGAACTGGTTTTTAAATCTTGAGTCATGAAAAACTAAATGACAGCAGGTTTGGTTTTAGAAACCTTGACCAAAATGTGGAATTTAGGAATAAGTTGTATAATGGAGCAATTTTCTGCAAACTACAAAGAACCAATCAAATGAACTGCATGCTGTGTTGAAGAACGCACCTTTTTCTTCAGGTCTGCTTGCTGTTGCTCTAACTGCTTATAGTACAGATCTTCTCCATCTTTACTGGAATGTCCGTCCACTGTGAGAGACACATAAAATTTGTTAAAGGGGTCATATGATGCAGCCTGTGTGAAATGCGCTAGGCTGTACTATTCTGCATCAGTACAAATACGTGTACGTGTTGCGTGTGTTTTGCTTGCTTGAGTGTTTCTGCATTTGTGGCTTTGGAATATAAATCGCAGCACGTCATAAACTGTGATAATGTGAGAAATGTTGAAGTTGTCTGAATAAATTTTGGTTTGACTGCATCTATTTGATAAATAAAGTTAACCGACTAACATTATACATACTCTTTTGGTTTCTGTACCTAATATTTAAAAAATGTACAAATGCAATAAAAATAATGGTATCGGTACTCGGCATCGGCAAGTACCAAAAATAAAAGTATCGGTATCGGGCGAGTACTGAAAAAAGTGGTATCGGTGCATCCCTAGAAAAAAATGAAATCGCATCACATGACCCCTTTAAAATTTCTAGTTTAACCCATCCATATAATGCAAAAATGAGCTATGCAAAGAACGGTGGGAATATTACAAAAATGGTTGGTCCAAAATCAGACAGGGTAGCGTTTGAGAAAGGACTTGTGGAATGTGCATCCAAAATGTCTTATACTAACCGAACGCATCTTTTCCTTGCGCTTCTTTATTGTTATTCGTGCTGCTGCTGCTGCAGCCGTCTCCGATGGCAAATGTTTTCCGGCCGGATTTCCCAGGTGCTTTGCTTTGCTCAGCAGCGCAAGCGAACACAGAAGCAAATGTTCTCTTTGACCCACTGCTCTGGCCGTCTCCTGTGATGGCCTGGGACGCGATGATGTCAATCTGCTCCAGGTCATCCTGGGTGAAATCGATGTCATCGTCAAACGGGTCGGGCTCAGCTGGGACCTGATGGCCTTTCAGTCTCTTGCTTGGCGGGAAGTTCATGTCAACGAGGTGCTTTTGGGAAATAAATAAAGCATTATCCATTAATGTTCAGTGGATATTTAATATGAAAATAGTCATAATAAAGAATGAGTATGTGTGTTCACATTTTTGAATACATACACATATATATATACACACATACACATATATATAATGTGTATTGGTTGCAATTGAGGGAAAGATGAATGCGGCCAAGTACAGGGATATTCTGGACGAAAACCTTCTCCAGAGTGCTCAGGACCTCAGACTGGGCCGAAGGTTTACCTTCCAACAAGACAATGACCCTAAGCACACAGCTAAAATAACGAAGGAGTGGCTTCACAACAACTCTGTGACTGTTCTTGAATGGCCCAGCCAGAGCCCTGACTTAAACTCAATTGAGCATCTCTGGAGAGACCTAAAAGTGGCTGTCCACCAACGTTTACCATCCAACCTGGCAGAACTGGAGAGGATCTGCAAGGAGGAATGAGAGGATCCCCAAATCCAGGTGTGAATAACTTGTTGCATCTTTCCCAAAAAGGCTCATGGCTGTATTAGATCAAAAGGGTGCTTTTACTAAATACTGAGCAAAGGGTCTGAATACTTAGGACCATGTGATATTTCAGTTTTTCTTTTTTAATAAATCTGCAAAAATGTCAACAATTCTGTGTTTTTCTGTCAATATGGGGTGCTGTGTGTACATTAATGAGGAAAAAAAATTAACTTAAATGATTTTAGCAAATGGCTGCAATATAACAGAGTGAAAAATTTAAGGGGGTCTGAATACTTTCCGTACCCACTGTATATATGGGTAGTTCACAAATAGGCAGTAAAAAATGCTTATTTTGTCAAAGACAATTTTTGAAGAAGAAATGCATATATTTATGTAGTGTGAAGTCTGATCTTTGAGAAAATATAAAGGGTCACTAACTTCGTCAATTCTTTCATTGCTTTTTTTAAAAAGTTTTTACTGAACTGTACCATAAATTTGTTACGTTTTCACTGAACTATACAATAAATATGTCCTACGGTGTGACATAGCAAAAATTTAGAAAAAAAGAAACCCTTAATAATATATAAATAGCATGAGAGAGATTTTCTTCATTGTTAGATGCTTATTTTCATATAGTGTTATTTATTTAATATGAAATTATAATTAACATCATTTTTTTCCCCATGACTTGTTGGACAATTTCAGGACAAACTTTGACAACAAGACAAGCTTTGCTGTCATCCGTTCAAAACTGCTGAAAATGATAAAATTTTAAGATGAGTGATATTTATATCCCTCCTATTACAATACTCAACTGTTTTTTAAGATATTTTGAGATAAAAACAAATCTGTGGTTCTTTTATGTGTGTCACACCATAGGACATTACGTCACACTAAAGGA